GAGCTGGCAAAAATTGACAAGTACGCAAAGGGACTTCCATGGGAGTATGCGGTGCTAGTTAGAAAATTAGTTTATGGACAGAAGTGTCGTACGCTATCTTGTTGGCTTGAGGCTGTAGAAAAGCAGTTTATGAGCCCCGAGATAGTCCATCATACTGCTGAAAAGCTAAAGGTGATTAGGGAAAGGATGTTAGCAGCTCAGGATCGTCAAAAGAGCTATGCTAACAAAAAGAGACGACCAATGACATTCGAAGTTGGAGATTCAGTTTTGCTTAAAGTATCACCGTGGAAGGACTTATAAGATTTGGAAAACGAGGAAAGTTAAGTCCAAGATTTATTGAACCATTGAAAGTTCTTCAGAGGATTATGAACCAAGCTTACAAGCTAGAATTACCTAAAGAACTAGATGGTATTCATAACACTTTCCATGTGTGTTATTTAAGGAAGTTCATGGGATACATTCCCAACATAATTCCAATATCAAAGTTAAGGATGGATGAGAATAAGAGGCTAATCGAAGAGCCTGAGGCAATTGTTGACCGTAAGACTAAGAAGTTACACCGCAAGATGGTCGACTTAGTGTTTGTTCACTAGAAACATATGAATGGGCCGAATCACAACCTAAGTATATGAAATCGCAGCTAGAGGGTACTAAATAGCAGGTGAGCCTAACCAACTGCAATTTCAATTTCAGTAACTATTTATGGAAAAAACTAATTTTTTGATTATTTTTAAGAAGGTCATTAACATATTTTGCTAGATTTGTAATTTTCTCTTTATTATGTATACGTTGGATTTTTAATATATGAGTCATTTTTTTTATCAATTTATTTTTTGCCTTAAACCCTTATCAAAATTTTAATGTGTTATAATTAATTATGCAACAAATTATCTATCATTCATTGTAGATACATAAATTTTTTACAGCATCTCATGAGATGCAAGCTTTAATAATAACGTTATTGTAATGTCAATTCTGAGAGTTTGTTTAAAGTTATTATGATGGTTGAGATGAATATAAATTAACCTAACTATCCCTAGCTTTATGATGCACCGGGAACGAAATATGCAACTTGCTTTATATGTAAAGGACAATGATATTTGAGTAAGGATTGTCCTAAAAACGCTCATGGAATAGATCTAAAGGGTTAGCTATTATTATTCTTTTAAATTTACTTCAATAGCAAATACAACAACTTACTTTCACTTTGCAATGAAAATACATTTATATGTCTTGCTTTTTCAAAGTAAAATGATATGTTAGTGCAAGAAATAACAATGTACTTTCACTTTATACTTTGTTTCATGTTAGACTGTAAAATGAAAGTACATTGCTACTTCTTGCATATAAATACCAAAAAAAATTCATATTGATTTACGTATCTACAATGAATAATAGATAATTTGTTGCAGAATTAATTACAACACATTGCAAGCTATAAGGTTTGGTGATCTTCGAAGTCATCAAAGTTAAAGCCATCAATTGTATCAAAATAAGCTCTAATATAGCATGTTCATTTGGTTTCTATATCTGTAAACTTTTTAAGTTTACTTTATTTTTTTCTTATTGAAACATATAACGTTTTACTTTAATTCTAATGTTTGGTGCCTGATTTGATCATTCAAGGAAATGAAATCAAAGAAGACAGGTAAGGATTGGGGTAACTATGAATATGTTCTATTGTACTTTCATTTAAAACTATCCGGATATAATATCGTATTTTCATTGTTCCTGAAAATCTATTCAAATATAGCATTGTACTTTTTACTAGCTTGATTTATCATTACATTTCCACTCATCCGATTGATGGCAAATTACACAGAACAACAATGTAGTTTAATACGGGTACCGATTTATGCAATGTACTTTATTATTTGTATCCGAAGATGAACACATTCCGCCCTGCGCAACGCGCAGGAAACCCTCTAGTTCTTATTAAGACATTTTATATTGAAAAAGTCTACCCATATATATCATCAAAACTATACGGTGTTTATTTATTTATTGTTTCCCTTATTTACCAATTTATGCAACTTGAATGAATTAGGCAGCTACATTTGAAGTTTTGAACCTTCAAAACATATGAACAGTAAAATGTTGCATATCGTGGTCATAGAAAGAAACATAGTTGCATATTTCTTCTAGAAATCTAATTAATAGACAAAAAATGGTTAAATACTTATTTGAAAATCTTTTACTTTTTTAGCGATTTAACTAACAATTATGTTTAACACCTGTACCAAGTAACGCAATAACTTTGCATACTTAATTTTACCAATTTATGCAACTCTTACAAATTATGCAAGCATGTTTGAATTGGTTAAACATGTAAGTTTAGAAGTGTAGGATCTTCTTTAAACTCAAGCAAAACAAGAACAAGGAAGAAAGAATAACAAAGAACCAAGAGATAGTTGCTTGATGCCAAAGACTTTTCTTATTTAATCAAAACAAGTTTTGCATCCAAATAAAGATGCAACGAAAACCTATATTTATACTAGACACATAATAAGTTCGACTCTAATACAAAAACTAGGAATAAACTTAAACAAAAGGAAACTTTCATATTTTACCCCTAGAACTAAAAATTGTTGATTGGTGATAAACTGATTAACCCAACAAAACAGGCTTTCATAAGATAAATGCGTATTTAGGCTATAGAATGAACGTAGTTGCATACTTCGTCCAAAATACTAATATGTTGCATAATGGAGAAAAATATATATGATGTTTCAATACATAAACAAGCATTTAACTTTTTTTTAATAAATCCAGAGTACAAGAATACAACTAAATCAATGAAATCGTATTTAACTTTTTATTTTTTAATAAATCCAAAGTAAAAGAATAGAACTAAATCAACGAATTCCATATGATTAGGACAGAGGAACAGAAGAGTTATACTAACCTTCATCATTCAAGTTTCATTGTAACAAACAAGGGACTGAATATCCTAGACTCGGGTATTTCTATAAACCTGCAACAAACGTCAAATATAGAATAAGTTTACAAGGAAAATCTTCTGACTTACTTTCAGTAGTTTTCAACTTGTTTAGCAAGAAATATGCACAAAAATGGAATTATCATTATCTACATGCTAAACATATTCCTACAACGATACTATATATAGCAAAAAAAAAAAAAAAAAAAAAAACTCCAAATACCGTAAAGTCAAGCATGCATGCAGTTCAAACAGATGGCAGATTCTTCAGTAGTAAAGAACACACTAATCGAAGTACATGGATTCAATCTAACCAGAAATACTACTTAATTACCAGATTAAAGTTCTTCACGATATGTCATAGACCTTTAAGTAAAATCAGTCAATCATAACAACTAACTGAATAGATCATCCCAATAAAAAGAAGATATCTGTCGACTATACTGTGAGAAATCAATACAGAGCGATATTGATTGTACTTTAAGAGACTCAGATCGCAAATTCAAAACTATAGTAAATCTTTCCAAGAATAAAAGCTTTAAAAGATGTGATATTGCGCCCACTGAAGCCAAACATTATATAAACGTAAATATTAGTCAACTTTCTCTCTCTCTAAAAGTGATGATTTATAGTTAAAATAATGAGTAGCACATTTTGCACCGCCTTGCAAGTTGGAACATATAAAACTCAAGGTTTTCGTCATCTCTCTCACTCCTTAGTCCTTACATAATTGATGGTTTAATTCTAAAAAACTGAGTTGCATTTTTACTTTTGGAACAACAAAGATTTATTAAATGAAACTAGCAAAAGGCTAGAGAGTTGCAAATGTAGTTGAAACATGGGAAAGCCCCTCAACAAACTAACAAAAATCAACACTTAGGAAATACAAAACTACACCAAAGCTCTATTATAGATCGAGCACTAGACTGATATAGTGAGGAAGAAACCATACTAGCAATCTGGAACTATAAAGATCAATGATTTTGAATTTGAATATCCACCACCATAGTAGACCCTTATTTTAAACATTCCACAAGCATAGTATGTCAATGATCTTGTAAACCAAAAATAGCAATGCCCTTTGATCATCCCACCAAAAGTAGCATCACACTTTGAATTCGCTACAGGGGTGGTAGAAAAATTATCAATCCAAGTGTGCATGTTCAACTTAGATATTTAGGTATTATTTGTTTCTAAAGAGGTAAAAGATATGCAGTCTTTATTTTTATCAACAAAAGATGTGGATCAGAAGTCTGCAGAATATAAGAAAAACTGTTTGTTTTTTAAATTCTTCAAGCTACATGAAAATAACTTATTTTTTTAAACTTAAAAGGTATTTCAATAATGCTAGTTTTACAGTATTTGAATTTGATTCATATAACTGTCATAACAAAGTTTTTTGGAGACATTTATCTACATTTTGTATTAATTGCTCAACAATTTGATCTCGTAAATAAGTCATATATATATTATTGATCCGTTGCACAAATACTCCGGAGTAAAGTCCGGAATACATTTTTCCAGTATGGAATGTATGAGTGTCAGATACCAACCACCACTAGCTCCGGAATAAACATAAATACTTCGGAACATCGTATTTTGTAACACATATTCCAGAATCCATTGTATCAGTCCGGAACGTACGATTATCAGAGTCTGGACCCGATATCTTCAAACGACCCCAAGTCTAGAATGACCATAACTACTCCAGAATATTATATTCATTTTCAAAAACCGCTACTAGAAAATTGGAGGAATACCTACAAGCAACTGCGTTGGTAATAAGTAGGAAACAGGGTTTACCTACAAAGTTCCGACAAAACTGGTTTGTTGGAAAAATGGCCGTGGGAAACTGGGTACCAAGAAAATTCCAACAAAATTTCTAACAAATTTCTGACGGAATATTTGGTAGGACATTTCCGAAAAAGTCCAACAAGGCTTCCTCACACAATATTTCCAGTGGAATACCAACATATCGTGTTTCCAACCTATTTCCGATGGAATATTTTCAACAAAACTCCAACAAAATATTCAATTTAATTGTAAAAAAATTAAAATAATTCAGGGTTTTCCAATACATTAAACTTATAATAATACAAATCAAATATATTAACCTATAAGAATAAAAATACAATACATTACACTTATAAAAATACAAATCTAATATATTAACCTATAAAAACACAAAACCAATACGTTACACTTATAATAAAACAAATCCAATACATTAACCTATAAAAATACAAGTCGAATACTTTACATACTCTAAATAAAATCCAGTACATTTATCTATTAAAAACAAATCCAATAACCCATTGCTTTCCTAGAATTGGAGAACAAAATGACCTCCACCATTAGATCTGCACAAACAAAGTGGTGTTTTAGATTAAAAATTGGATTTGCACATGAATCTAAGACATAGACCCCATTTTCAATCTTGCAGTTAACCCAATACCATCAAAATTTTCGACTTGACTGTAATTTCCCCAAGGATTGATAACACTTAGTTTATCACAAATGTGGGGTGAATCTTGTTTTTAACAAGATCATTTCCTATCTGAAATATTATCAAAACAATAGATTAATAAGAATTTTACATCAGGATTCTAATACATTTTCCAAAACAAAGATCTATGAACTAGGGAACAATACCTTTGGTAACTATATAGTAGTGCAATCTACTACTTCTTTATCTTGAAGCTCAACCAATTCAATAATACTTCAACATATTTAATTAGAAAAAAGTAATAAGTAGCCATATAGAAATTGAAAATAAAGTAAAAGATATAATTTGACATGTCTCACCTTCGTAGCTGGACGCTCAACATCTCTTGGAAATATCGGTGCCTAAAATTTAAAATCCAACATTTAATCCTAAGCAGGGTACTTGGGATAACACTATGAACAAATTGAAACACCAAAATAAGTTTCCAATCTGATTTCAGAGTAGAATCAAGAGCCAAATCACAAATCTGTAACAAAAGTATCAAACTCAAAAATCTGTAAAAAAAGTAACAAACTCGTCATAACATGTATCGAACTCACATATTCATATTCGAAATCACACAGACAAATGAAATCACTGATTCATAGACAAATTACAAGAATCATAATAAAAAATTGAAATCCGAGACAAGTTACAAGAAAGAATCCATGTGACTGATTATATCACCTGAGGGGATCGATCGTAGGTGTGAGCGTCGGAGGGGAGCGACGCTAGAGGTGTGAGCGAATGAGGGGATTGACGCCAAAGGTGTGAGCAACGGTGTGGAGATGGTAGGTAGATGATAGCAATGAGTAATATTTGATGGTGATCGAAGACGGCAATTGAAATGGTGGTGGAAGCAGAGGAGCAACGTGAGATACAAGAAAGTGAAGTGCAGGTGCGACGTAAAAGAGAACGACAGTGATTTTGCTCCGGTGGTGGTGGTCGTAAGCAAAGACGATGGTAACTACGGCTTTCTCTTCATTTTAAGTTGAGAAAAAAGAAGAGAAGATAGAAGGCGTCAAATAATTGGGTTGGAAAAGGCTCTATTTTTCAATAATTTCACGAAAATTAGGCAATAGATATTCGATTACCGAGTGCTTTTTTTGGTCGGATCTAAAAACAGCTAGGTTAGTGAGAAAAGAAGTAAGAGTTGGATTCTGTAGGTATTTCGTTGGAAGTTTCCGACACATTTCTGATAGAATATAAAAAGATAGAGAATTACATTTGGTGTGATCTGAACTCGGGAAAATGTCATTTATATATATACGGTGAGGTTCAATAGAGAACTATAAGTAACAATGAAGCAAGGAACCAACCATAAGCGTCGGAAATCATAATGATCAATAGCCAAGGAAATTGATGTACACTTGTACATTAGACGCACACACATCAGATTATACCAAAAAATCCACCTCCTTATAAAAAAAAAACTCACCTTTTTTTCGTTTAAAATTTTTTTAGGCCACATTTTCATCAACACAAAATATACGGTTGTTCCCAATTTTTCATCATCTTTCAATAGAGATCTACATTGATATATAAAAAACAAACTTTTTTCGAAAAAAAACCCACTTCATTTTGTTAGTTTTTTTAATATTTAAGTTTATTTTTATCCAAAAATGTAACGCTTGGTTGCTGGTACACATTTATTTATAAACAATTCATTTTTATAGAGCTACTCAGCGAATTGGAAGCCCCAGACTCGTCATGTAGAATCGAGTATTGGACACAAGTTTTCAACCATCTACTCGACGGGTCAAGAGCTCTTGACTAGGCAAGTAGGTCTGCCAGAGTGAAACCCTAATTTTGGGGATTTGCACCCTATTTAGCATCTTAATCCTCACATTTGAGCTCATTTCCAGCCTCCAAGTCCTAAACCCTAATCCACGAAACCATAGAGCATTTTGTGAGTGTGTGAGCCATTCTTGAGTGATTTTGTGTGCTCTTGAAGCTATAAGAAGAAGAAGGAGCTAGAAGGTTCAAGGAGAAGATTATAGATCTAGAGATTCCTTCCATCCTCATCACTTTCTAGTAATCAAGTCTCTAACTTGATCATTCAGTCATTAGATCTACTTACTTCCATTTTATGAGGGTTTTGGTTCAAGAACCTTGGTCCTTGGGATTTGGACGTCCCAAGTGACTTACATTTCAGATATAGGATCTAGAAGGGGATTCCATGGCACAAAGGTGCAAAATTTATGACCATGGAAGCCCCATGCAAGCTTAACAATGTTATTATGGCCTTTTTAGCCCTAAAAGGCCATGTATGGAAGGAAAGCTAGGAACTTTACATGCCCAACTGATGTCCAAGGCCTAGATCTAATATAATGTGCTTTGGTTTAGAGTATTATGTCTTGTGGGCCAAGATCTATGTCCTAGAGAGTTAGGGTTTGAGCTAAACCCTTTAAGAAGGACTAATAGTGGGCAAAGTTGGAAACTTTACCCTTAAAAGTGTATTCCCAATGTTTATATGAAGTATGGAGTTTGGATCTGAAGGGTAAGAGCTTAATCCATTGAGTTAGATCAATCAGACAAAGGAACTCGGCGAGTCCATAGAGGGACTCGATGAGTTGAGTTGCTTTGTCCCGTTGTAGCTTAAGTTAGAACTCGACGGGTTGGTGAAGGGTCTCGACGAGTTGATTCGGTAGATCGCGACGATGAGTAGCATGGGAACTCGATGAGTCAGATCACAATTTTAGGTTCTAGGACTCGACGAGTTGATGGAGCAAATCAGCGACTTGGGTCAACCAGAAGGTTGACTTTGACCAAAGTGTTGACTTTGACCAGGGGTAAAATGGTCATTTTACCCTAAGAAGAGTTATCAGGTTTTGACTATGTGTTATTATGGTAATAATAGTCGGGGAATCGTGGGAGCAGCCTTCGGAGATTCTTCACTCGAGATTTCAGCAGTCAGCTTTGCGAGGTGAGTCCTCTTCCAGTAGGAACGGGTATAAAGCACCAAGGCTGACGAGTTTATGTATATTAGCAATTCTAGGGTTAGCTCGATAAGTTATAAAATAAAGTGTAACCTTAATTAATTCCATAAGTTATAAAATAAAGAAAAGTTAATTCTTTTATTAGTTTAAAGTCTTCCATAACTTGTCCTCAAGTTATGGAACTTGAAGAGTTTTTGGATTAAAACTACTTTAAACACATAAGTTATGGAATTAATTAGTTTTGAATAGTTTCAAAACTTTCCCTCAAGTTTTGGAATTTGTAAAGTTTTCTCTTATGAATACTTTAATTCCAAGTAAGCCCTTAGAATTTTAAAAGTTAAAATTCAACCCTTATACTTTATAATATTATAAGTTAATAATATATATATGTATAAGAGTAAAGTCAGTCTTACCGCTAGTACGCCTCATTCACGAAGCCGGTCTATAAGGTGGGTATAAGGTTGTTGCCTATAAAATGGCAACTTAATGGGTGTCCACTCCCACCCACCGCTTGCTTGACAGGTGGAGGGTCGTTAGCCGAACGGGTTTGATAGGACTATAATTCTCCCTTCATTAAAAGTATTAATGATAAATACTAAGTAACTGAACTCTTAATAATTCCCAATCTTAGTTACTTAGGAAAAATGTGAATAAGGTGCTAATCCATGAAATTACACTTTACACTTTGTCTAAGTTGTTAGTGGAGCGTGTGTGGTTAACTGGCACACTAACTTGGACTTAACAAGGTAGGTAAAGGGTGACTTAATATTTATCATAGTATCGATGGAGCGTGTGTGGTTAACCGGCACATCGATTGAGGGGTAAACACTTAAGGGTACCAAGTAATTTGCATGGTTACTTCACATCTTGTTTTGTGATCCTCGGCATCCCAGTCACAAAACCTGAAGGGCACACTCGAGATTGAAACATGCCATTCAACAGTTCAATGAATCTCAAGATCTAGGAGTTTCAAATCCAATTAAAACCTAATAATACATTTCGTTTATTTTGGTGGAAATTGGTGAATCGTCATTCCCCTACCTTCAAATATTTTATAGCTTGGATTACGGCATACCTCTTCTAAGTTATAAAATAGTTTGTTGGGTCCTAGCCTTAATATTGGGTGTCATATTAAGGACTATAAATAAACTATCTTGAATATCTCCCATAACATGTCTGGTTTAGACATTTATGATCTTCCCAAATCTCTTGAAACAAGCTTTCCTAAATGAAGATGATGTCCCTTGGAAATCATACTTCTTTCACCTCCTCCGATTATTCTCCTTAACCCACAAGTTCTTGAAAAGTTTAAGGTCACTCAAGCCCTATTGGCAAGGCAAGGTCTAGGTGTGATCACATCTTGGAGATGTAGTCACATATTGACAAGTTGGGAGAGTTGGGTGTCAAAGTTTTGAGAAAGTTGTAGGTTTAACTACTTTCTAAGTTACATAGTGAGTTCTTTTGGAACACCTATGAAACAGACTATGACAAGACCCTTAATGATATTATCTATTTGCTAAGATCAACTTCCTACAACTTTATGGACATTGAAAATGATGACATTGGATATCTAGTAAAGCTCTCTCTTCCCAGTGGAAAGGGATTGACCAAATGGTAAAGAGAAAAGCTAAGTCTGTGATAGTCTCGTGTACCATTATCAAAAGGGTCCATATGTTTATATTGCCAAAGGAAGGGGCATTGGTTGCGAAGTTGCCAAATTTACCTAAGGATGTTAAAGTCAATAAGTTTGACTCTACTTCAGGTAAAGTCCACTATCTAACTCTGTTAAGTTTCTATTATGAGATTCTTGATACATGATGTGACTGGGTCACATGGTGATGTTTTAAGAATGAAATAAAAGTGAAGAAACTTAAAGAAAGAATATGCTGAATCTGATCGAGTAGATGGATTTCTATCGTGTAGTTTGAAGATCGGATTCTTGAGCTACTTCTTAGGAGTTATGAGATATTGCTTAGGAATAGATAACAACAAGATTTCATATGGATTGTAAGGATAAGTTTTTCCGCAAAGTTTTAAAATAAAAGGAAATTTTTGATTTTATTTATTTTAAAATATCCTTACAATGGCATTTGAGGAGAAATTGTTGCTTATATGATTCCATTAAGAGCAAGAGTGGAAATATGAAATTGATTCTTTCAGTTGTGGAAATGTCTAAACTTACCAAATAAGGAAAGATTCTCATCACCCAAGTCTCAATTGGACCGGAACTTGGAATCTTGCAAGTTGTATAGCATGATGAATGAGAACTTTCAAGTATTGGAAAATTAAGACTAATTACTTGTTCACATGGATGTGTGAGTCAAGTAATGGACTAAGGGATCGAGTACATAGTCATGTGCACTGATTAAGTCCACCACAAAAGATATAAGGTTATTCGTCATAGTTTACTAAACCTCAGTAAATATGATTATACTTACAAGCTTAAGTGTAACTCTGAGACATTGGAAAAAGTTCCAATGCATGGCAGAGCGAATAAGAAGAATCAAATTAGGCAGAAGGATAAAAGTTCCTCAAATCTGAAAAGATGGAAGAGTACTTTAGTATCAATTTTGTGATCATCTTAATGATTAAGAAACCATATCAAAATTAGTTCTCTAAGGAAGTCTTAGTGCATTCTTATGACTAAGAAGAAGGGATCTTGAATTGTTGAAAAGGTTAAATCAAGAAGATGAGTCATACTTCGTTCCAATACAAGTCTTAGAGTCATACTCCAAGATTGTAATTTGAGTGATATGTCTTTAAGAGGGTTTAAAACACGTGTCAAATGTAAGAGTAAAAGTGTCCTACTCGTGTTCATTTGAAGTTGGTAAGTTGTGATGTTTTGGATAAAACAAAGACCAACTTAGGCCAACTATGTGAAGTGTTTGTCTTGGTTAGAATCCACACTATCTCTTGGATGTTTGACAAGGGACTCTTATAGGTCAAGAGGACAGTGGGAGTCTTAAAGGTCTTGAAAGTCTCAAGAACTAATCAAGAATAAAACCTAAAGTTCTTCACTAGCACACGACTTGATGTTTATAACCTATCGTGTTGACATAATCTGTGCCCATTCCAGTTAAACTTGAGTTCTTAGATGTGACATCCCCATTTTCACGGCCAGAAAAGACCGATTTTGTTTATGCTTTATAAAAATCAGAGTACTTCATTTTATAAAAAGGTTGCGGAATTTGTTCCCAGAAAAACACGATAAATATGTTATTAAAACATTTTCGAAGAAACGTATTTTTTATTCA